ACTTGGTCCATGTGCCACTGCACCAACTTGGTCCATGTGCCACTGCGCCCACTTGGTCCATGTGCCACTGCACCCACTTGGTCCATGGGCCACTGGCGCCCACTCGGTCCATCAGCCACTGCGCCCACTTGGTCCATGTGCCACTGCACCCACTCGGTCCATCAGCCACTGGTGCCCACTGGGTCCATGGGCCAATGCTGCCCACTGGGTCCGTGGGCCAATGCCGCCCACTTGGTCCGTGTACCACTGCCACCCGCTTGATCCATGGGCCACTGCCGCCCGCTTGGTCCAGGGGCCACTGCCGCCCGCTTGGTCCATGGGCCACTGCCGCCCGCTTGGTCCATGGGCCACTGCCGCCCGCTTGGTCCATGGGCCACTGCCGCCCGCTTGGTCCATGGGCCAGTGTTCATGTTCTTCTTCTATGTACTAGTGTTGTATGTACCCCGCACTTATTATGCCAGTGTGATATGTGTATGAACCAGTGTGCCCAGTCTCCCTCAGTACATGTACATACAGATTGATTGGTGATTAGCAAACTTTTCACCTAAACCCGAGTCTGCAGATCTGGTGGTCACTATGTGCAAACAAAACATAATGGAAAAACAATTTAACCTTTGCCATTTTCACTTATAAAAAACATTGGATCTTGAAATCACACTAAGAGTCGAAGACAGAGGTGATGACATCATGGTAGGTGGTCCTATCAATCACCTCCAGAGTAGTTAAACCATCTGTAGTCTCAAGTTGTTTAGTGACTCTACCTTTGTGTAAAAGTGTCTCTAATTAAAGTACTGTTATATTGAAGGAAAATGCCACTTGTGTTGTGTGGAGTTATTTTTGTTGCAAAAAAAGTATACATTAGAATATATTATGTGAAAACAAATTTTTGTATTTGCTCTTAAAGTAGCACTTTCACTTATGTAACTGACAATGGTCAAAGTTAGTTGTTTATTAATAGTCCAGAAGCCAATAAGTGCAATTTTTTGTTTACCAATATAACCTCTAAATCAGAGATTTATTCCATTTGTGCTTGGTTACTACAATCGGCGTCATAGTATATCTTTACATTTGCCAACTGATTACTGCCAAATCAAACATTCAAACCTGTCTGTCCTAGTATACTTATGGATTATATCTGCTTCATTAGATTACTGTACACATGTCCTGTATTTCCATCTGACCCGGTTATCTGCCTTACGCTGCACTCTCTATATCCTGGAAGTCGCCAGTCTACACGTATCATGTTTTAGTAGTACACATAATGCAAGCTGGTATACTCGTCTTAGATTATAGCTCAAATACATATAAATTTCAGATATAATTTGTGAGCATTTTTTCAGCTTCCTGCTTACCTTACTGGAAAATAAATGCATTCTGTATTCTTCTGATGCCCACATATCATATTGGATCACATGGATATTAAATGTTAATAAATTGTTTGTTTTTTTAAAAAACCATGGTCTATGGTCTTTCTATACTTTTATTAACTAGCAGTTCCTTAAAATTTAATTGAAACATTTCTAGGTTTTAACCCTTTTGATATTATTTTTTGTGTCATTATGATATTGCACCAGATTCCTTACATACATATATACTATGACTGTGAAATCTATAAAGGCAAAAAAATTAGTAAGTTTTCTATATCATGTGTATCAGTTTTAAGGCTGAATGTTTGTTTTTTTACCTACAGAGGTTTTCTTTATCTCTTTTGATCTTAGTTTCCTGTTTGAATATGTTGAATATGTTACAGTTTCTTTGGGTGTGAAATGGTAGAGATTTGATATTACCAGAATCCTCCAGTGTGGAAGTAGCACCTGCTATACTTTTCCATCATGTTTACAGACATTGCAGGTTTGTTGATAATTTGCTGTCCTGTAAAAATAAACACTTGATACTGAATATCAATAAACTCTACCCTGCCTGTGTGCATGCATGTAATCGGATACTGGTCTGTAGTACAAATGCACTAACCATTTGTCCCCATGAGTGCAACATTAGTAAGATGTTGGATGGCTCTTTAATAAAGGGGGTGTGGTCACACACGACACATGTTCATGTATATAGAACAGGTTTTTATATTTATACTGTTGCTAATCACACCTTTTATGTTGTGGTTAAATTGGCATTCTCACATGTGCTGACAAACAGAGGACAAGATTGCTTTGTAAATATTCTTTGAGTGGGCTCAACTGGTCACAGTTACATCCTTTTTACCTACTATCAGGTTTCTGTGAAGGGACATTGTTTTAACCTACAGATCTTGTTCACATGTGTCTCATCTTGGAGTTAAACCCGGAACTCGGGGTCAAGACT